TGAGCTATTTGTATTCACGCGTTGGGGTAACCAGGCCGTTACAAAGCGCTCTGGGAAACAAGGACGCAGAATGCCCGTCACCGTTTCAGCCAATGACCGAGACCAGGTTGATTTGAGAAATTTTTAAGTTTATTCTGAAACTGGTGACGGGAGGAAAAGGGCTTCAACAATCTAGTGAAAGTCACGCCAAGTGATGTCTCTTACAGTAAGTGACAAGCAGGGTTTTTATAACGATCACCGGAAGCAATTAGGGTTTTGCAATGCCACAGGCAGTTGGGACTCTTAAGAAGACAGCTTTCCCAAGAATCATTAGGCAATTATACCTGCATTTCTCCAGGGGCATTAGCCTACCATGAAGCTTCATTGGCCTTTGTCTGTCGAAATTGGGGGATGCTTCCTGGGCCTGGCCTTACTGGACCTCCAACCCTGAGGCCTCAGAATGAGGACTGCTTCCCGCCAGGCTACTTACCCTAATGGCCTTGCTTGCCGCCTTCCGGAGTTAGAACATTCCCCACTGGTTGAGCTTAAATGGATTTGTTACTGCAAGGGAGGGGGCTGTTCCATCTGGATTTTCTACAAACTACATCTTAAACTACGTTTGATTTCTCGTATTTCGAGTAAACAGCAGGCTAGCTCGTTCCACTCCTGAATCAAGAGGGCTTTCAAGGACTGATTTTGGGGAAGTAGATCACCAGGCCTTTCTTCCAAGGTCCCTCTACGTGGACCTAAGCCTCGAGCCTGTCAGCAAGCAGTGACCCAGGGACTCCGGCAGGTTTCAAGTTAAAAACAAAACACACCTTTACGGCAGAGTCAATTCCAGCTCATCGCGTTTCTAGGACGTGAACTGCACCATAGGGTCTTGGAGGCAGTAAGTCCGTACAGAAGCAGACTGCCTTGTCTTCTGTCAGAGTGGGTGGTGGGTTCAAACCTTTTGTTTAGCAGCTGAGGACTTAACCACTGTGCCACCAAGACCCGTTAAAATCGTGGATCCGCCCCACCAGCCCATTGCCAATTAATCTATTTCCAGCGCCTGGCAGCTCTGTTTAGGGCTCTGAAACTAAATCCTTACAGGAGCTGGCAGCCTCATCTTTCTCCAGTGGAGTGGCTTGTGGGTTTCAACCCCCTGTCTTGCAGTTAGCAGCCCAATACCCCACATCACAACAGGGCTCCTTAAGATATCAGGTGACCCAAGGCCTTCAAGTCCATTCTGCCCCATAGCAACCCTACAGGGCCGACTAACACGGCTCCTTAGGCTATCTAAGGCTATAAATCTTTGCAAGAGCAGAGATGGCCTCATCTTGTTCCCAAAGAGCACCTGGTGGGTTTGAACCCGGGGCCTTCCTCTTTCTCGCTGCCTTTGTGTTTTCCCAAGGACTGGTCTCTCCTGTGTGTTTGAATTGCCGTGCTGGAGAAGCATACAGAAAGTACCCTGGACCACTCAAAGGACAACCGATCTGTATTAGAACAATAACGGCCAGCATGCTCCTCAGGCCAGTGTGGCGAGACTCCGCGTCTGTCTTTCTCTGAACATGCTCTCAGGAGAGACCAGTCCCTGGAGAAGGACATCATGCTCGGTCAAGAGAGAGAGGAAGGCCCTCAGCGAGAAGGGTGGACGCAGTGCTGCATCCATGGGCTCGGGCATCGGGACAGCTGTGAGGACGGTGCAGGACTGCGCGGGGTCGCTATGGGCCGGAACCCACTCTGGCACCTCAACAACCATCCCTCTCCAAAGGACAGGCCAAGTCTCGCCATCCTCGCTTCTAAGGAGCATGCTGGCTGCACGTCTTCCACGGCAGCTTTGTCTGACTATTCTTTGGCAGCCTGTGGTACTTTCACCTCGACTACAGCCTGGTGAACCCTCAGGGACTGTTTTACTCTGGCTGGTAGGCTTGCTGAGAGTTGGGATCAGCTGGTGAGCCCCCAAGGGCCAGTTGACCATCTTTTGGGGTTGTGCCTGGGTCCCTGCTTTCCCTTCCTGCCTCGCTGGCCCTGCTGACTGGGCCCCTCCCACAGGGAGTACCTGACGGGCTTCCACAAGCGGAAGGTGGAGCGCAAAAAGGCAGCCATTGAGGAGCTCAAGCAGCGGCTGAAGGAGGAGCAGAAGAAGCTTCGGGAGGAGGTGGGGGCCGAGGGGAGCGCTCTGTGTGCATGAGAGGCAGGGGGCAGTTGGTTCAAGTGGAGGCAGTGGGTGGGGGCCGGGCGGGGCGGCGCATAAACCGGATCTCTTGCCCTGTTCTGGCAGAGACGCCTTTTAAGGGAATGGCTTAGGCTGAGGGGCCCAGCCTCACTGAGCCCTCCCCACCCCCCACCCTTGGTTTCAGCGCCACCAGGAATACTTAAAGATGCTGGCTGAGCGAGAGGAGGCTTTGGGTAAGTCTCACCCTGGTGAAGATCCTACCACCCGGCCGTCATGATGGGGAGCTGGAGCTGGGCAGGATCCGAGACTAAGCGGGGCCCTATCCCTCAGCTCACTGGCCTGCAGCAGAGAGCGCAGAGGCTGATGCTTGGGGAGACGGCGGGTGACAGGAGCAGGATGGGGGGCATCCATGCTCCCTTGGAGCAGGAGGGGTAGGTGGCTCCTTCACGTTCTGGGTTCCACCGTAGTCCAGGCTCTGAATCCATAGCCTCCCCTAGAGTGGGGCCGCACATGGGGAGCAGGGTGGAGCAGGGAGCTGCTTATGCCCTGGGCCGACACTTGGGTCTGTGCCCACCCTACACAGACGAGGCTGACGAGCTGGACCGACTAGTGACAGCAAAAACCGAGTCGGTGCTATACGACCACCCCAACCACACGGTCACCGTGACCACCATCAGTGACCTTGACCTCTCAGGGGCCCGGCTGCTTGGGCTGCCCCCCACTGAGGTAGGTCCCAGCTTGGGGTGGTGGCTGGGGGGTGGGGTGGTGCTGAGGGTGGCCCATGGCTTCGGGGCTCCAGTGCAAGGGGCTCAGGGCCTCGGGCAGCCTGAGGGACCACAGGGCCTAGGCACGCTTCTCGCCACCTGGTGCCCTGTTCTTGGAAGGCCCTGGCAGAGCGGGGAGAGCAGTGTGGGCCAGGGGTCAAGCCCGGCTTACTTTTTGAATAGAGACAGGTGGGACCCCCGAGACAAGGACCCTTAGTCACCCTTCAGGTCTGGCACTGACTTCACCCAGAGTGAGACTGTCTGCCACCCCTCTGAGATTTGAAGAGCAGCACTGAGCCATGGACAGAGGCCAGGGAAGCAGGAGCAACAGCAAACAAGCAAAGGCTGCAGCTGAGACTCACGGCCGGCCGGCCCTCCTCTGTCCATGGAATTCAGTCTCGGGACAGCGCGAGGGGCTTCAACAAGCAAGCGGGCAGGAAGGTGGAACCGAAAGATCAGGGAACTTCCATGACCTTCTAAAGGCTCTGTGTGCACAGTTAGCATGTCAGGCACCTCCTCCAGGGGCTCTGCTTCCAGAGTCGCCCCGCTTCTACGTGTGCTGTTCCCCAAGCTTGGTCGGAGGCTGAGACGAGGCTTGTCTCTGTTGTCTCTGTTGTCCACGTTCTCCTGGGGGTGGAAGCGACTGCTGGAGGATTTGAACTCCAACTCTCCCCTGGGTCCTCTGGCTTCCGGGCACACCTGGTGCCTTTCTGACCTTTGAGCCTGTCCCAGCCAGCGAGGTGACAGACAGGGCTGGCTCAGGGCCCTTGTCCACTCTGTAATGGGCTTCTCCTGTGTTGCTCTAGCTGGGGCCTGGGGCCGAGGAGGAGGAGGCGGAGTCATCCACGGAGAAGCCTGCCAAAGCCTTGCCCAGGAAGTCCAAAGACCCCCTGCTGTCCCAGCGGTGAGCCTGCCCATCCTCTCCTGAGCCCCCAGGTCTATAATGGCACTTTCCCCTGGACCCCAGAGGGTAGTGTGGGACCCAGAGCAGCCCTGGGTCGCCCCTCACTGTCGTTTCTGTGTCCTGGCACATGGGTGAAAGACCTCCCTTTCAGGAGCTGAGCAGTGGGCAGGCCGATGGGGAGCCCATCATGACTCCCTCCCCAAGTCGGCTTTCAGTCAGCCCCAGCCCAGCCTCCCACCTCTGCCCTGCTCCTCAGGCGGGTGAGCTCAGGCTCCAGCCTAATGGGCTGCACCTCCCGCAGGATCTCCTCTCTCACGGCGACACTGCATGCGCACAGCCGCAGAAAAGTGAAGAGGAAGCTGCCGCGGCGGGCACAGGACTCGGCCAAGAAACCCCCTAGTGCTACTCGCACCAGCAAGAGCCAGCGGCGCTGGCTGACTGGCAAGGCCCCGCAGGGCCGGGAGTGAGCCTGGCTGAAGCCAGGTGCTGATGCCAGTCTCAGGCTAGGGCCTCGGACCACAATGCCTGCCCCTTCCCTGGCTTTGCTCATCCCCATCCTGGATGCTGTCAGCTGGGACAGGGTGCAGGGGGTGGGCATGGTGAGGGGTTATTCCCCAGCAATGCCCCTGTGAGCCCGCCTTCTGATCTGAGACGTGGGTGCTGGGCCAGGCTGGGTGACTGTGGGCAGTGCTGCCTGAGGCCTTGGGCTGTCCCTTCTTCCCTTGCTGGTCTGTCTCCTTGGCTGAATTAAAGGGGCAGACGTAGGTGAGCCCTGGAAACTTCCCCTGCTCCAGGCTTCCAGAAGCTTCTAGCAGAGCCAGACAAAGAAGGGATGGTTCATCAAAGAAGACCAGTTGTCTCCTGGCCAGGGCCACTGCCCAATCCTCTCAGATCCCCAAGTATGGCTCCCAGGCCCTTGGAAGCTGGTCTGGCCCTTCCTTGTCCCAGTGTGTGAGTGACCGAGAGAACATTGGGTGGCTCCAGGCCCACCCCCACAGGCAGACTTGGTGCCTGGGGATGTCTCCTTTGTGGTCTTGGGGTGGGAGGTGCAGGAACTAACTGCCTTAGGGAGCTGGCTTGGACCCTAAGCCTTAGGGTTGTAAAGGGATAGGCTGTGAGCTGGGGCCTGGGTGAGGAGAGACAGACAGGGTGACAGGACTGAGCGTGTGATGGGGCAGGAGACCAGGTTCATGGGCTCCCCGCCCAGGGTGGTGGGAATGCTCCTGGGGAGATGGGGGGTGCGCAGGGCTGGTCCTCTATTCTCTATGAAGGGCCACTGGGCAGGCTTAGAAGGGCGGCTGAAGGCCACACCCAGGTATGGGGCCGACAGGCCCTGCCACCTGACCTGGTCCCTCAGTTCCTTCCACTGCTCTTCCTACGCTCTCTGCCAGCTGTGGGGTGCCTCACCTCCCTGCCTGGCAGGGCCTGGAGCTCATCCCGAAGCATCGAGTGGGGGCTTTGCCTGCCCGAATGCCAAGGGCCAGGAGCAGAGCCAGCTGGGGAGTGGGCACAGCAGGCATTGAACCTGTGCCCTGCCACCTAGCCCACTGCATGAGCTCCACTCAGCAGGCCTCCAGGCCTGACTCCTCATCTATAGGACAACACCGTGTGAGACCTGCCTTGTAGGGTGCCCGTCACTGCCACACTTCTGACCAGGCCCTCAGGCACCTTCAATGTTAGGGGTCATTTACAGCAGCCCTCATGCTCTGTAATGTTTACACAGATTAAATTCCCACCCCGCCCCGTGCGTGTGCTGTCGGCTCTTCAGCAGGTCTGGGGAGTTGTGCAGGCCCGTTTGGCCAGCCCGAGGGTGGGAGTGCTGGGCTCAGAACCCCCTGGGAAACCTGCAGTGAAGGCTTTGTCTCAAGGCCAGAACATGGCTCTCAGAGCTGGGGGAGATGACGAGGGGGCCCCTGGAGGTAGAGTGTTACATGGTGCCATCTGTCCAAGTCTGGGGGCCGGGCAGGGCAGAAGGATTCCCCAGCTCGGGTGAAGGTAGGTGGCCAACCAGCCTGACATCCAGACAGCCCTGGGGAAGGATGCTGAGAGCAAGGTGCCCAGGCATGAACCCTGTAGACTTCTGGATCAATATGCCCAAGAAAGGCCAGGCTCCAGGATCAGGGTGTGGTCTCCTGCGGGGACGGCATCCCAGCAGATGGGCACATCCTGTACTGCACAAGGTGCCCGAGAGAGCCCGGACATCGAGCAATCAAAGCCCTTGGTCTTCCTGGGGTAGGCGAGCTAGTCGGCCGAGAGTGCGCCCCCTGGAGGCGAGAAGGCCTGAAGATGAATTTGGCTACGTTCAAACAGTGATTAGAAATAAAGGTACTGCGGCAATATTTAAAAATCTTAGCAATTTTATATCAGAGTTCAGGGTTGTGGCATTTCCCGTAGAAAGGCGGGTTGCCGCTGCAGCCAGCTAGCCACCACCTCCGCTGCTCGCCACAGGCCAGCTAGGTGACTTGCCTACAGCATGGACTGGGCAGTGGGGCTGCACTGGGATCCCATATATGAAGGGCTCCAAGCCAGCGGGAGGGAGGAGGGCAAGCACAGACTGTCCAGGGCCAGAAGGGTGAGGTGAGGCAGGGTCTGAAGGGTGACAAGTGATGGCTTTGCCGCCCTTATGCACACAGCCCTGGGCTGTGGTTTGGGACCAGACACTCCAGTCACCAGGGCCTTGGGACAGCTTGCTCTGTCTTTCCCTAAATGGAATCATGCCAGGCGCCCTTGCTGACATCACAGGGATGGTGAGGTGTGTGTAAGGAGGGCTGCCTGGTTCTCTAGGGTAAGGGGCCTTAGCTGTTCCTTCGGTGACAAAGAGAGCCCTGGTGGCAGAGTGCTTCAGCGACGGGCTGCTAATTGCAAGGCCCGTCATTTGAAACCACCAGCAAGATGGGGTTACCTACTCTGTGAACAGTGCAGCCTCAGAAACTCACAGGGTCAGTCCCCTGCCCTATAGGGTCACTGTGAGTCAGCATCGGCCTGATGGCAGGGACAGAGTTGGTTAGAGTCCCTCTCTGACCTCAACCTACCGTCATCCCCCCAGGACAGCACAGGGGCTGCTCCCACCAGTCACCTCTGCCGCTCCCTGACACCCCTGGCTCCCTTTGACACGAGAAAACCGAGTCTCAGATGCCACCCTATCCCATCCCACCCACAGCGACTCGGGGACAGTAGGACTGCCTTCCTGGTCTCCAAGGCAGGCCCCTGGAAGATGGCTGGCAGGTCTGCAGCCAAACGCTTCAGCCATGGTGGCACCAAGGGCGCCTTCAAAAACAGCACAAGTCGCCTCAGGGCCAAGACCTGGCCCTCACACCGGGTGGAAGGGACAGCCAGGAAGGTTCCTCAGAGGTCAGGGGTTGACAGCCCCTCCGCCCTGTGGTGGTGGTGGGTGTCATGGAGACGGTTTCGACCCACAGTGACCGTACAGCACTCCGTCCTCACAACTGTCCATCTGCCCGAGCCCCTCTCGGCAGCCACTGTTGCCTCTACCCCCATCCTCCAATTCCAGGTTGCTGCCTGCTGCCCACAGACCCACTGTTTTCCCACATGCCTGCGGGGTGCATTGCAGCGCCAGATGGAGCATTCAGCACCTTCCCCAACCTGGCTATTCACGCTTTCCCTTGCCCCCCACTCACCCCAGTCACCTGGCCCCCACGCTTCCCAAACACCAGGCAGGCCCTGCCTCAGGGCCCCCCTGCACTCGTTCCCTCTGCACACAACTCTTCCCTTGGGACCTGTGGGCTCCCTCCCATGTCTCCTTTAGGCTTTGCTCAAAGATCCCATCACAGTGAAGCTTTCCCCGCCGTATTTAAAATGCAGCACCTCCTGCCCCCGTTCCCAGGGCCCCCGCCGGCCTAGAGGTTATGCCTTGAGCTGCAAACTGTAAGGTCAATGGTCTGAACCCACCAGCGCTCCCGGGAGAAAGATGAGACTGCGCCTGTAAAGTCCAAAGAGACAGTTCCACTCTGTCCTACAGGGTCACTGTGAGTCAGGTGACTCCACGGCAGGGGGCATCCCCACTCCTAGCGCCCACCCCCCTTTCCGGCTTCATTCATCCCCTCGGCACATGGCCACCTCCGCTGGCTTGATGGCCATTTCTCCACTTGCAGGAAAGCTTTTGTTCTCTGATGGCCTCCGCAGACAGTGACAACATAGGGCCCACAGATAGCTGATGCATTCGGTTTTCAGGTGTGCCCCCTGGGGCCAGCGCCAGCTTTCACTGATTGCTGAGGGATAGACTGTGGGACCACCCACTGTGTCCCAAAGGCAAGCTGAGTCCCACCCCAGCCCTGCCTCTGGGCCCGGCTCTGGAAACACTTGGGTCAAGTCTGCCAAGCTTCATAATTCCCTTCGCCTGCAGGACTGATGGCGTGTTGAGCTACATGCCGAGTTCTCTGAAGGAGGAAGCTGAGGCTGCTCGCGTAGAGAGTAGAGAGTTGGGTTTGGGGTTGTACCCTGTCCTGGTAACACCAGACTGTCCAACTTCAGGGAGTCCAATGAGAATCAGCACGTGGAAATGCATCGACGCTAGCCTAAGGCTTTCAGGGGCTTCTTCCTCCAAAGTGGGGAGCCAACACCTCCTTCGTACTAGTCTGCTCTTCATCTGGAAGCTCTGCTGAAACCTGTTCACTGAGGGTGACCCTGCTGGCATTGAAATACCAGGGACATCACTGCCAACATCATAGCAACACACAAGCCACCGCAGTAGGACAGACAAGTGCAGGCCCGGGCAGGGTTTCCTTCTGTTGCCCGTGGGGTCGCTATGGGCCTGGGCAGGGGGTTTCCTTCTGTTACGCACGGGGGTCACTATGGGCCCAGGCAGGGGGTTTCCTTCTGTTACACACGGGGTCTCCCCAGTGGGAACTCCAGAAACAAAAACCTTACCGTGTCGGCGAACAACCCGGGAGCAAGTTACTGGCAGGAG